AAATTATATTTTACATTTGTTTTAATGTCCACTGTCTATGACCTTTATGTTTTATGAGTAATAAATGATTGAGGCTCCGCTCACTTCCTTTATTTTTAGACTTAGTTAATCATGTGATTGTTTTCTTCTGTCCGCTGACTTTCATTCTCCTTGGTGCAATGAACATAACCGTGAAGCTCCTTGTTGGCTTGTGATGGTGATAAGATTTTTACTACAAACACACGTTGTGTGTGAAACCTGCTTTCGTCTGCTTAGGATTAAAAATTGCATGTCAGCTAAATTCTTTAATGATGCCACAATATGCAAGCTGCAGCTGTGGTTATGTTGACCCCTCGCTAGGTTTAAATAGTGGAATACTGGAAGAGTAATTTTCATACAGTCCTCTGCATGACTATAGAGTTGTTGCGTTCGGCTCAGTGTGTCACAGCCGGCACCTCAAACTGGAGCTTATCTCTGACCTGTGTAAAACAGTATCTTCAGCGTGAACGGACTTCTCCTGCTGAAGATGAGTCACTTCGTAACAGCAAACAGAGAGATTGCATATTCTCTCTAATGACCAGGTTACTATGGAAACCAGGTTACATTTGAAAGCGCTTGATGAGTTGAAAGAAGAAAAAAAAAAAGAGAGAGACGGCCCTCAGGCTTCACTTTGCTCTCTAATTACATTTGTGCAACCTCGGAAAAACCTGACGACATCCAGGCCTGTCCTGGTTTGGGAAACAATCTCACCGCTCGACTTCCGAAATCAAACGACCGTCGTGCTGAGACGTGGCAGCGAGGAGCGGAGGCACAGGTAGCACGAATGGTTTGTTTAAACGCTGGAGCTGCTGCTGCATTCGTGCCTGTTCCTGCAGCTCAGAGGTCAATACCTGGTAGTTGACTCTCTCCTTCACATCAACGCCCTGAACCGCACCTGAAGGAGCTCTGGAGTGATCGGCCTCTGAAGTATTGACTGTGGCAGGGTTTTTTTTTTCCCAGCACGAAAGAACCTGGAAAGACTATTTTTGATTCACGGCAGGATAGTGATAGTCCACTCTTCCACTGGATGGGATGTAATCACCAATAAACCCTGAGGTCACTGCCGTCCCACGCTGTCAGGGGAGGTTGTGTCCGGAGGGAGTAATATGTTCACCGAGCTCTGCCCCATTACCCATCTGTCTGGAGCGGAAAGAACAATGGCTTTTATATCACTCTCTATTTCTTTAGCGTTCCCACCCAGGCCCTCTGTCAATGTCTCACTATCGCTGCATCATTAGCTCTCTCCATACGTCTTCTCAACGCCAGAAGGCAGAGACGAGACAGACTGAGAAATTAGCAGCGTTTCAGCTCCAGTCGCTGTGGTGGAAATAGCGTATTGTGGTGCTGCAGTTCTCTCATTAACCTTATCACACTAAACAAGACAGGCGGCAGGTGCAGGAGTCGCATCCAGTCGCTTCGATTATAATAGAAACGTTGAAAGGAAAGAAAATCTCAGTTTTCCTTTTATACCTGTCATGTAAAGAGCAAGAGTTGAAAAAGTGACGGTTAATGAAGCGGCGGTGTAAGTTTGCACTTGTGTTGCGAACACGATGCTCACAGACATTTCTTACTGTTATTATAGCGCAGGGGTTTCTAACCTGTGACGGGCGGGTGCTCCTAAAACAAAGGGAAGTTAGTTTTCGTAACGAAGTCAAATCTGTGTTTCTTGCAGTTTTAATGGATGTAATAATCTCAATATTGATCACAAATAAAAGCCCATAATTCTACTTAAAAATCAAATGTCATGACTCCAGAGCTTGTTTGAAAGGTTTTAAAGGAGACATGTTTCATATCAAATGAATCCAGAGATATTTGTCCATCCAGCTGCAATCAGAAACTCCTTACAGCTAATTCATTATTCTTTAAAGGTGCTTATTGGACAAAATTAAAAGTTTGAGGCCCTAACTTATTCTAATTTACCAAGTGCGTGACAATATTATCCCTTCCGCTTTAAATCCCCCTCAAGCATCATGGAAACCGAGGTCCCCAAAGTTAGATTTGAGTATCCATCAAATATAATTAAGTTCAATAAGAATAAGCAGAAGACTGACAGAATCTCTCAATGTCTGTGGGGAGTCCGTTCTGTCAGACTGTGAGACCCCCTCACGTTGACGGATGGCGTCACTGAGGGAAACAAGCCAAAGTTACAAACTCAAATACACATTTCCTACCTGTCAACACACTCCGAAGCGACAGATTGTCACCACGGGGTGTTTGCTCGAGTATTTCTGTGCACAGAGTCGGGCTCAGACAGTCCGGTGGAGATGAAGCTTTGTGGAGAGCTGTGTGAAATCTGAGATGACATGGAGAGGCTGCAGGGCCGCGGACAGTTGAGAAAATCCTCCTCGGGGATAAATCCTCCAGACTTGAAATCCTGTCCAGCGCTTGGCTAAGCTATAAATTTGCCTTAGTGGACACTCGCATTTAGTTTGAATTTTGAACGTGAAATCTCATTAATTTGGGCAATACGAGGTGGAAGGTTCTTTTTTTGAGGCCTTTCGGTCATTTAAGGAGTTCAGACTTAAAGCAGTCGTCACACAAGCATTTATATAAGTTAGTTTTTAGAATTTTAAGACTTTAGACAAATCTATTTACTCGCATATTTTCATCTTGTGTTGACGCTCTGGAGCTACTTCAGATTTGTTCCTTGTCATTGGTGAGTCGTCCTCAAACACTTCTACAATACACATTTTATTTTGTGACTGTGAACTGAGCCAGTCTATGGTGCAGAGTGACGTTAGAAAACATTGTGTTCATCCTACCTGGTTCATCTGCAGCGGAGATTTTAAAGTTAATGTTTTTTCATAAAATGAAACTGAATTTGTTTCATTACCGTCCGGGGCATTGCAGCAACAAAATAAAACAGTGTGCTTTTACTTTGCAGACAAACTGCCGAAGAGGAAGTGATTTGTGTTGCTGCCATGACGGAGATCAGGGTCCGTGAACATCTGTGTCGGTCCGATACGGTGAAATAAAGATAATCTAATGATCAGACTTTATTAAATATATGAAACTCTGCTACAGAATAAAATACACTTATTTCTATGATATTACTTTGTCATCCAGTCATAGCGATAAAAAACTGCTTGAGTTATGGTGCATTCGTATCGAACGCCCAATGTACTTGAAGAATACCTACAAGGTCACGTTGGCTGATCTATTATAATTATACAACCATATCAAATATGCAATGAAGTAAAATGTGCAGTAGAAAGTCATATTTAAAAACTGAAGTGAAGTAGAAGTATCTCACTACAGCAAGTACAGTGATTTGATGAAACCAACCCAATATTTTGAATTTATTCAGTGAAATATTTCAATTTCTTCTACTAAACTCCATCTCAAAAAGATTCTCCCACCACAAGTCATCTGATTTCCCAGATAAATAACAAATCAAGCTGAATAAACAACACCTCTCCTCAGAGGTTGTTGACGCTCGTGTTTTACTTTGGAGAGAAGGAGGTTGAAACAGGTAAATATGAGAAAGGCACTAATTCAATGTGCCCTGAGGCGGCGTCCTGTTATCTCTGGAGTGTTGTGCGGAGCCCGGAGTTCGGCGGGTCCTCTGAGAGGCCACAGAGGAGCTCCACGAGTTATTGTAAATAAATCTGAGCAATCGGGCTGAGAAAAGAACACTCCAGCAAAATTTAATTCAATCCTGGTGAGTGTGGAAAACACTCTCCAAGTATTAGCTGGTGAAATATATTTACTTTAAATCACGAATGGAGCGACTCGGGGAAGAATCCCAAAGGCCAGAGATACAGAGCTGTGTGCTTTCTGTGTTTGTTCTTCTTTACCCTCGGTCCTCATGAATCCTCGCAGAGCGCTCGTCAGCATTCTTGGTGTGTGTCTCCAGGTCTTTGTATTCTGTATTCTGCCCCCCCCCCAGGAAGCACGTTCAAAATACAGGAAAATAAATGAGTTAGACTGTGCCGAGCGTTTCGTTATCTGCTTCATGTTCAAAATTCCAGACCAAGCGTTTTGACATCTTGGAATTATTCCCATGAGCCTTTTTTTTATTCAAACAGATAATATCATTAGCTTGTTTCTCTCTTTGTTTAACTGTTTGTGAAACGATAGTGTGCGTGTGTGTGTGTGTGTGTGTGTGTGTGTGTGTGTGTGTGTGTGTGTGTGTGTGTGTGTGTGCGTGGCTGCACACAGTTGAATTATGTTTACATTATTATGCTACCATGCTTTTCTTATCCCTTGGCTGAACTGCAGACTAATGGAGGTTGCTTTAATATTTATGAAGCTCATCTCTCCGTACACTTGGCTCGCTGTCCTCAGTCTCGTATAAAAAGCACAAGACCGTTTGAAAACTCGCTCTAATCGAAAGTCTCTTTCTTTCTCTCCCCTCTCTCTCACCCTTGTAATCACCATCTGTTTGTCCATATTGTGTGATCCTCTGTTCCTGGTCCCCGCCGCTCGCCACCAGACGCTACTTTTGGCCTCCTGCTCGGTGTGTTTGTGGTCTGCGGCCTGGCTCTGCTGGGCCTCCTCACATTCGTCTCCTGGAAGCTTTGCTGGGTGCCTTGGCGGACTAAGTCCCACTTCCCCAGTCCGTCGCTCACCCCGGCCTGCGGCCCGCAGCACTGCCCTCTCCCGCCGCCTCCCCCGTCGCCCAGCTCCCAGCAGCCGCCAGTCACCATGGCGACAGAGAAGGTGAAGGACCCCGTGGGCTCAATGGGTTTCCTGGAGGCTGCAGTGAAGATAAGCCATACATCTCCTGACATCCCCACTGATGTGCAGCTCTCCATGAGGGAGCACTTCCTGCGCCGCACGCAACGCATGCAGAGACAAACCACTGAGCCAACTTCCTCCACTCGGTTAGTCACATGCACTGTATGTACTGCGTGATGTGCTTATCCATGTGTGAACAGGCTTCGGGCTACATGCAAACATGCCCGTGTGCACATATAAGTAGAATTTAAGAGAACCCAACAATTACAGTTAATACATCGTTAATGAGGTAGATATTTTCTATCCAGGCAATTTGCTTCCTACAAAGTTAATTAAAATAAATACTGTAGATTGTGTTGCTCTCTGCCTCAGAGGCTTCTCTTTGCAGGTCATTATTGTGAAGCTAATTACATGCTGATGGCTTCTTTATGAGTATTAATTAAATATAGCGGATTAAAAAAAAAAACATTTGCTTTTGCGTTACTCGCAGAACTTTACGGCAGGAAACGTCTGCACATTGAGGTCAGGACTTTCTCCGGAGTTTCACGCATTGTTAGTGAAAGTTTACACGTTTACGTCAACACAGAAAACTGGAGCATTCAGGTGAGGGCTGGCACAAAATGCAGGAGGTTGTGTTTTTGTTTCCAGCACATTGACAACGGCATCGGGCGTCATCTAAGATGTATATTCCCAGAATATTATAAGACTGTCGTGAGAACAGAGAAGCTTTCAAGGGTAAATGTTTTCATGCATTTTTAAAAACAATATTAATACAGGCCACAGGGCACAAGTTATTTCCTCCCACTCAGGAAATAACTCCGCTACCGTCGGCTGTTGTCTTTGATATTTTGAATCTTTACACACAGATGTGAGGAGACAGGAGTCGATCGTTGTCCTTTGTCAGTGCGAGTTCTTTGAGGTCAACCCTTAAATTCAAAGCCATGCCGAGTTTCCCTCTTCATCGTCACTACAGCTCCTCCACACGACCCACAGCGACTCCCCGTCACTCTTTCTTTCTGCTTCTTCTGTCCCTGCAGGCACAATTCATTCAAAAGACACCTGCCCAGGCAGATGCAGGTAGGAAGTTTCGACATGGGAAATGACTTCATGTTGGACAAAGAAGAAAAGCCCACCAGCATCGGCCGCATCCAGCCAGAGCTCTACCAACAGAAGACCCAGGAATCGGAGGAATCGTCCAAGAACGGCAGCAGCAAAAACTGTGGCAGGATTAACTTCTCTCTCAAGTACGACTACGAAAACGAGGCCCTCTTAGTCAACATCATCAAGGCAGTGGACCTGCCCGCCAAGGACTTGTGCGGCACATCTGACCCTTACGTGAAGGTCTACCTTCTCCCTGATCGCAAGAAGTTCCAGACCCGCGTCCACCGGAAAACACTCAACCCCACATTCAGCGAAAGCTTCCAGTTCCCTGTGCCTTACGATGAGCTGGCGGTCAGGAAGCTGCACATGAGCGTCTTTGACTTTGACCGGTTTTCCCGGCACGATATGATCGGGGAGGTGGTGCTGGACAACTTGTTTGAGACGTCAGACCTCTCCAGGGAGACAAACATATGGAGGGACATCCAATACGCCACCAGTGTAAGAATCTATCAGATTTTTTTTCTGTTTCTTGTACATTCAGTATCAAATATCAGCCCGGTAAACTCTGGTGCACTAACAGATCTATACACACGAGCGTCTGACTAATTCATTGGTCGGCTGATAAAAACAGGCCGATATGAGCTTTTCACAGACAAACTGACGTTTGCGTTTCTGTTTGCCGATATGAAAACTTTTATTTTCCAGAATAAACAATACAGAAAATATGTTGCAGTGGCCGTAAACCTGGGTGTTTGGACGCGGCTGGTGTTTGGCCTGTGGTGATGCTGGTTGCAGCTTTTTCTTTTTGAAACTGTAAAAGTGACCCTGCAGTAAATGAGCTGCAGCAAATAAAGACCTGCTGTTGAAGTCAGTCCTCAGAACCTGAAGCGGTGGTGCAGCTCAAGTCCATTATCAGTCTGGCTTTAATACAAACCGTATCAGTTAAATGTTTGGATGTATTACAAGAGGAAATTCTCCCTCTTCATTCATTCATTTATTCAGGTTTATTGAAAAGAGGAAGTATGAATTGAGTTGTTGGTATTTCGGTGGAAAAGGAGTCTTAGACAAGGTGCAGAGAAGAGCTGCCTCGGTCGGTCTGCGGCTCTCCATCAGTCCTTTGTGTGATCGTCAAATTGAATATTTATTAGCGTCAAGGCAACAGGCTCTCTGTAACATAAAGTGAGCAAGTGTGTGTGTGTGTGTGTGTGGAGGAACAAAGAGTCAGTGTGCCGAGTCATGTGGAATAATTATGTAAATGCACAGAACAATATGTACAGGAGACGTCTTCGTGCTTGGTCTCTCGGCTCAAATCGATGCGGATGTTGAAACTTCTCCCACTTAGAGGGAAGCAAGAGTCAGAGGCGTCAGGCGGACGTTGGGTTCAGGAGCATGCCAAGTCACTTTGGGGGGTGTGGGGGGGGCCCAGGCAAAAGGGAGGGGGTCAGATCATGGTGTCGATTCAGTTTCCTGTACGTCGTCGATCATAGAATTTTAGCAGGTTCTCACAAATTTGTCGTGATGAGCTGTTCTTGGGGAGCGGCTCATCACGACAATGATGACAATTTGGAAATTCTGTTGGTTTGGTGTGTGATGCAGGCGTGAAGGAGTATGTCGTGTGCAGGCGTGAAGGAGTATGTCGTGTAGCGGCAGACTTGAGTTGGGGGTTTACCTCGAGTGTTTCCTGTTCCTTCGTCCAAAAAAAGAAACAAATCTGAACAAAGTCGACTTGACAGATGTCGGACCAACAGACGAAGACTCTGTTCAACAGTCGCTCAACAAAGTCGACACCTCAATGTGAACCTGAACGTCCTTTTTCACAGCAGACATTCTGGCACGTCATGGCAGGAAAAGCACAGGTGTCCTGGATAAATTAAGAACGACAACATTCTGTTCAGGTGAAGCGGCTCCAGGCTCCTGTGGTGTCGCCTGCGTGGATCATCATGAACACATTGTGATTCAGCTGTGCTGCTCTGACGAGGTCCATGCTCGACCTTACATTCGTCAGTTTGATGATTTTTACTGACAAGAACAAACAAAGTACTTCAAGAATAATATAATAATCTTTAAAATATTCACTTTCCACCCAGCAGATTAAATCAACGTCAGATAACAACAGGTAATGTGGTTTAAGCCTCATTTATGCTGCCAGTATGTATAAGTGTGCTCCGACTGACTTTGGTTGTCTGGCTTGAACTATTGGCTGCGAGCACGGTGCTACATCGGTTTCCGTATTAACTTGAGTTTAAATTAGTCTTAAAGCAGAAATATCAAAATACAGTATCTACAACATAGATGATCAATATTTCATGATGATGTTAATGTGATATTTCACATTAACAGTATCCACACCCACAAATAGATAGTTTCATGTATCACTGAATAATTTAAAGCCTCCTAAAGTCACAGCCGTTTATATTTTTCTATTCTGTAAGATGAATAAATATCTCCTGTAGGGCTCCGTACCAATCAACAAAAACAAGTTTAGAAAGTTTGTGTCTGTGTGTGTGTGTGTGTGTGTGTGTGTGTGTGTGTGTGTGTGTGTGTGTGTGTGTGTGTGTNTGTGTGTGTGTGTGTGTGTGTGTGTGTGTGTGTGTGTGTGTGTGTAAAATCCTGCCCCCAGCCCTGCAATGTGAAGCACATCACTAGAAATGCATCACTCAGCAAAAGCATTAGGATTCAGATCCACAGCTCAGGATTTTTATTGGACATAAACATAATTGGCACTTCTTAAAATACATAAAGGGACTCGCTGCAGTCACAACACCTCGAACACGAGGATATTTCTGTCTCGCAGTTTACTCCTGTAATTGTTTTCCTGTTGGCTTCGTTACTTGTTGATGTCCAGGGGCCGCTTTCGGGAACTCTCTGTGCCAATGTTATCTGGCTCCGTGTTTGTTCTCTTAGAGCGCTCGTCACATTTTCACCTCCTCGCTGCCTTCGCATCAGACGGCTTCCCCTCCCTCCGGTTGTTGAACTTGAGCTTCTTTCAAGGATCGTTCGATAATCTCATACGTTATTGCTTAGGAGGCAGAAAGGCGAGGGTACTCTGCCTGGCACGCAAACTTTATCGAACCACCGAATGATTTTATGACAAAGTCCCTTGCTCACATTAAAGTCAAGATTGGCAACATAAAGAATGCACAGATGGTGGGATTTTAGTTGAAACAAAAACACGGTGAAAAGTGGTGTGTAATGAAAGTTTTGGGTCAGATGAAGACTTGACTTTAAAAACACTGTGCAGCTTAATGAGAATCAATCAGGGGGAGGAGAAGCAGCAGATTCCTTCAGTTCATAGATCAAGGATCATCGATAACATCAACCTACAAACATAAACTAAGATAAAGAATCGGTAGATATCGACCTCAGGCATTTTCTCATGCGTTCTTTCAATCTTAACATTTATTATGTGAAGGTTTTTACATGTTAATCAGTGGCCAGGATAAATGATCTACTGTGGAAGTGACTAAACACAAAGAGGGTTCCATGTAAATCCAGAAAACGACTAATTAGGAAGAAATATCAGACTAAAGGTCGACCAATCAGGAGTCAGTCTCAGCTGTCAATATTTGATATCATCAAGTTACTGATTAAACTTTACAGAAACACACATCAGTGTCTGATTCGATCTACATTTGAACTTTTTAGTTTGGTTCATGATAAAGATAAGTTGGAGGAATTCATCCTTTTGGGAACATTAAAAGTCTTTAAAAAGTTTCGTGACGTAATCCATGAGGTGTTTGCTGAATTAGATTGATGAGCCTGGACCGGCCGACACCGTCCACCGAGCCACCGAGCAAACGTGGCTGAAAACAGCTCAGGCGATGACCTGCAACAAGCCAGCCTGCGTTTTCTACGAGCGCAATCAAAGTGTCACTTCGTTGCTTTTACAACACTCGACATTTCTGCTGCGCTCTCACATTATGGCCGCACCTTCACACCCTTCAAACCGAATCTCACTTCCACAGCAGTGAAAGCCGAAGTGCAAGCGGTGAGAGCACGAGAGGAGACGTTAAGAAGACACAGAAGACGAGTCGGGATTTGCCAATCAGTGCGGCTCTCTCTCTCTGAGCTCATTCAGAGTGATTAGGGGCGTGCACGACCTCAATACTGTTTCTAGGACGGAGCTAAGAACTCACACGGGACAGATAACAGGAGTCTGATTCCACCTGAGGGTTTTATCACACGCTGGACTGTGTTTACACAAGTGAACGTTTCAGTCGGTAGTCAGGCTGCGCGTCTCGAAAATAATTCAAACCATAGAATCCGTCTGATTTCTAACGACACCTGATGATAAAAACCTCTGAACAAAACGCTTCACTGACACTTGTTGATTTTGTGGGTAATTGGTTTACGTTCTGTTTCGATTGCTGAGTTGTAAATTTCCTCTGATGATAATCATGTGGAAACAACAGAAATTAGGCTTTTTAATTATCTAAATCATCTGTTTTGGTAAAATACACACAGTTGATTGGCTTTGATTTCAGAATCTCTGGATAAACCCAAGTTGTTCAGCCTCATCCATCTATTATCTCCTCCTCCGAGGGTCACTGGGAGGGGAAGCTGGAGCTAGTCCCAGCTGGCAGTGGGTGAGAGGCTGGGTTCACCCCGGCCAGTCCATTACAGGGCCGACATCCTGACCTTGTATTAACACCTGACAGATCCAATCATCATCCTTCACATGTGGCATCTGCATTCACACCGCGAAAAGAATGTCGCCGGGTCCGAACGGGGTCACAGAGACAAACAACCACCATTGACACCCACGGGCGATTTAGGCTTCGTCCATAACTTTTGGTTTGAGCAGTTCTCTGCTGTTTTTTTCATCAACATTTTTTATCTCCAATGTTCAAATATGTCTTGAGTAAGAATCTCAGCATTACCCATAATGCTTTACTACCTGAAAAAGAGACGCACGCAATCCTTAAGCCTGTAAAGTCTCAGAGTTCGGGTTGACACTGATTTGCTGTCTCGCCTCAAGTTAGATGAGAAGATTGATTTTATGTCTGTGCATTCATTATGGAGCTACAGTCTTCTATGGATACTTAGATACTTAAGTATGAACTTATTCCACTAGAAATGAGAGTGGCATCAGACCTCTCATCATAATATCTGTACCACTGTGCTCGTTCCCTGTGATCATAGGTGAGAATGATGTAACTGCAGGACACCGGTTTATTGATATTATATTAGTTTCTCTTGTTCTGACAATGAACAAAATATCTTCTTTATCCCAGAAAGACTTTGAGAAAGAGACTGTGGAGTGTGCTGAATATAAATGTGACACTGAAGGAGATTCTCTTCTCCGTGTGTCTGTGTGTGTGTGTGTGTGTGTGTGCGTGTCCTTGCAGGAAAGCGTTGACCTTGGAGAGATCATGTTTTCACTGTGCTACCTGCCGACCGCCGGCAGACTCACACTGACCGTCATCAAGTGCAGGAACCTCAAGGCCATGGACATCACTGGATATTCAGGTATGTTCCATGTGTGCACTGGAGCTGTGTGTTCGTGTGATTCACCTCCAGCTGCAGACACACACACACAGCCGCCCTTTGAATATCCAATTGTAAGTGTGTCAGATACAATGAACAAACAGTGGAGAGCCACTTCTACCGCTGCGTTCTGTTTATTTCAGCCGCAATTAATATTCATCACTTGCAACGTTAAGACATTGTCAGCACATTGTTGCAGGCGCGCTGTTTATTTTAATAGACTTGCTGTTCCACTTCTCCGTTCCATGTTTCCCTAAAAACACAGATATCACTTGTACGATGTGACATTTATTGTGCATTAAATACCAGGGTTCAGACTCCAACGTGACGTTTTTCCTGCCGTGTTTAATGACATTTCATGATCCTAAAGTGAGTCACAGTTTTAATCCCCTCGAGTTTTTAGGGGTTTAGCTGTCTGCCATTATTCCAGTCTGTGCCTCGTAAACCCGCAGCTTCCAGATTGTGCCTCCGAGCACATTGGGTTCCAAAGCAAGCGCTCTGGTTTGTTGTTATAGATTCAGGGCGGCTTACGTCGCTCCGAAACGCAGCATAATGGATCATACAGGCTATTTGCCGCCGTCGGATGAAGATTGAAATCAGCATTCATCAGGAAGCTTTCAAAGTCATGCTACTTAAGCTATCCATGGCCTCCCATCTTCTCTGTTTACACAGGGCGTTGCCTCATCTTCATTTATTGCACGTTGCTGATGCCAGGTCCTCCGGGGTTTCACTCGTGCTTATGTTAAAACACACACCGAGTGATGAAATAGGCCACTGACGGCTCGGTCTTGACGGGCGTCTTTCAACTGTTAAAGTCAAAGCAAACACAGGAAAAGCTTTGTCTCCCAGAGGCCCGATCTTCATGCTAATCAAGGCTCCTGCAGATTCCTCAGTGAGACTCAGTGATATTTTTATTTCTGTTCTCACCCTTTAGATCCGTACGTCAAAGTGTCGCTCATATGCGACGGGAGACGTTTGAAAAAGAAGAAGACGAGCATTAAGAAGAACACTCTGAACCCCACCTACAACGAGGCCATCATCTTCGACATCCCGCCCGACAGCATGGACCACGTCAGCCTGCACATCTCCGTCATGGACTACGATTTGTACGTACAAACTCCAGCCGACACGATCAGTCGACTAATCAACGAGTCGAACAGCTGGTTTGTTAATTTACTGATGGTTTCAGACTTTGACTTAATATAAAGATGGAGGATATGACAACTCCCAAACCATCCTGATCATCCCCCAGTGGCTGGCTGCAGTACAGGTCCTGTCTCCTCCACGTTAAAGGATGGGACATGCTCCAAGCTAAAAAGTCAAAGTACTTGTTAAATATTTTTTTTCCCAACGATGGTTTCTGTCAATTTAGGCAGATCTTATATTTGATATTATTTGATGCATTAAAATCAGATTGAAACGTCATTTTAGTAAAACAGGAGAAAGTTGAGACGCAGCTTCTGTCTCCATCTATTGTCTTTTCAAAAATAATGAGAAAAATGCCAATTAAACTCTGGTTCAAGCATCTACAACGAGAAACTTTGCTTTGATTCTTAATCTTAATATAAGATTGAACAAAACAAGTCGTTGGAAATGTCCCCGTGGACTCTGGACAGCTGTGATGGCATTTGTTGACATTTCATGGAATAATTTATTTAGTCAATAAAGAAAAATAACAGATAATTGTTTCTGGCGCAGCAAAAATAGAAGCGCTCTGTAAAACTTACAAGTTGGTAATATTCAAATTAATTAAGTTCAAGTTAGCAAGTTATATCAACACAATGTCTTTGGTGATGAAGTAGTGCAAATTTAATTTAGCACAAATCTGAAAATACTAAACAAACCACGAGAAAAGCAAATAGAAATTATTTTTAAAATTAGTTTCGGTTGTAACTTCACTTGGATGTTGGACGTGTTTCTTTGCAGAGCGATGTACGAGTTTCACACTGAGGGACGTTCCTCTGCGCTCACCTTGAATTTAAAATATTACTTTAATACAATCATAGTCCAGTAAAATACAAAAGTAGAAACTTAAAAGTATTTGCAGTGTGTTTGTGTTTTCAGTGAGAGAGACGGGAGGTTTTTACTATTTAATGATATTTAACAAGGTTGAACTTTATTTTGTGGCAAAGCATCATTAATTATTAGAAGCACTGAAACATGCATGAAGTTAATCCTACAAAGATTCAGATCATCCCTCGTGTTCAATGTTGCATTTCTACAGAGAAAAGCTCATTTACTACCCTTATATTTACGAAGCTCCAACAGGAGAGCGAGGGAGGTGGACACGGTGCGGAGAGCTGACAGAAAGAGAACGGGCGAGTTAAAGGTCAGACTCAAAAGGTCAGACTGAACTGTGTTCTATAAAAGGAGCAGACACTCCCTGGATTAAAAACACAGCTCCTTGCGTCGTCTGCTTTTATGCTGGGATTAAATCAGCTCCCGCTAATAATCTACGGATTATTGTGAAGGAGAACAAAGTCTGCTCCCGTTTATACTTCAGACGTGGTTAATAGGTGCGGAGATCTGCTCTGTCGGCCTTCGTGGGATGAGTCAAGTCCAGTGTCACATCAGGGACAGTTGGGCGGCAGATTTCGCTGCATCAATCGAGAGGACGTCCAGATGCAGATTTGTGTCTCCTTCGATTACAAGACGTCCTTTGTGCAATTACAAACAATAATCTGATGTAGGAGATGTCGTGTCAGGTTGAATCAGACGTGTTCATACGTGTATTTATATGTGTTTGTCCCCACAGGGTAGGTCATAATGAGATCATTGGTGTGATGCGGGTTGGGTGCAGCGCCGAGGGGCTCAGCAGGGACCACTGGAACGAAATGCTGGCTTATCCACGCAAGCCCATTGCACACTGGCACCCCCTGCTGGAGTCTAAGAAATCCGAGAAGGAGGTATGTTCAAGACCGGATTATTCCGTGCGTGTTTCTCATGTGGAATGAGGAATCAGGGACTTAACTGGTAACTCTCAGGTGATGCGCTGCTCTGGGGCCGACGCTTCAGTTGGTTGCGGCGGCACACAGCTCGTGTTGTCGATTAAGGTGCAGCGACTGTAATCCTGCTCTGACACACATCCCAGGAAAATCTGAACACACAATACACACATTTTTTTCAAGTCAGTGCGTCTGATCCTAAGTCCAGAATGAATAAATGTGGTAAACCCGCCGAGAAGTAATTGAGAAAATGATGCTCTTTTATTTACTCCACTATCAAAGTGATCCATGCAGTAAAACTACTAAGAGCCAGTGGTGGAGGAAGAACTTTTGACTTCAGTAAAAGTACAAAAAAACTGACAAAAACCACATGAACTCTTTTACCCTCGTTTCAAATATACCTCAATTATTAAAAGTACTCGAAAACGGTAATGTATCCCCTAATGCAACAGTCAAATGCATCACTAATTGAGTATTTTCTGTTTAAGGCCCTGACACGTCATCAGGAGTCGTCCATGTAAATAGATGCGGCAGAAAGTTTCATTTTAATTACGTTGTCTAGATCTTAAATTAACCAATGCTATCGCCTGCAGTTACTAAAGTTACAAACCTATAATATCCAAATAACATCTGTGTTAACGCAGGTGATCCTGCTTTCCCTCTTTACTATGGCAGTTATGGCGCGATGCCATTTACCATTCATCCGAAGGGAAATTGAAAAGCTGGGATACTCTGCGTTGTCTCACACATAAATCAAAAGCACACAGCTTCAGGCTACGAGCAGCGGTTGAGTACGCCGCCCTGCCAGGATGCTTTATTATTAGAGGAGTAGTTGTGTTCAGTAACCTTGCTGCTCTACGCTATAGTTAAATTAAGCACATCATGTATCTTCAGATAGGGGAATGAAATTACGTCAGAATACGGGATTATCGTGCATAAATCATCCAATAACGATGTAGCGTTAGCATGCTAGCTACCGAGACAATGACAACCCGTTCACGTCTCCTTAAACATCGTGGAATTGTATTTCCAAAGCTTTGAAATGAGGCAGATAATAACTTTCTATTAACATGAATTGTTTTATAGAATATTTATATTCATCACCTCTCTGCAATTTAATATTCTGAATTAATATATTAGGATTTTCCTCCATTATCTTAATGTGTCTTCTTCTTCTTCTTAATATTATTATATATTATATTATTCTCCTCATGTTCCTGTTTCCCGGTCTCTCTCCTCAGGGCAGATATTTCCTGTGTTGTGACCTGACAGTGACACTGCTGTAAAAATAAGCAGAGTGTGCCCCATGAATCATCGCCTTGTGTCTCTGTGTCCTGCAGTGGAAGGCGAGGACGGCCAGCTTCGACAGCCAGGGCTCCTGCCCCTCGCCCCGGCCCCCCGCCAGCCCCTGAGCAGAGCCACCTGTGACCCGGCAGCCCAGAAGGGGGTTTCCTCCCTCCTGCTGATCCACGTCCTGTCTGTCTGATTGAGGAGAAACACAACCCCTCTGTCTCTTTCCCTCTCTCTCCTTCTCTGTCCTCCGTCCTTCGAGTCTAGTCCCAGAGCACTCTCCCCAGAACTGATCTAGGACCACCGTCAGTCGACTAGTTGTGTGAAGCACTTCGTCTTTTCAGGTTTTAGGGTCTCTGATTTGCGACGTGGGTCTTGCGTTGACCCGTGTCGTCCTCAGAAGAGCCTGGCTGGACATTTAATATTGAGCTGTCCAGGGCCGAGCAGATCTCAGAGACTTTCCAAACGCTGACTGTTTGGCTGCAGAGACTCTTTGATGGAAAAAAGCCCAGCTGGGTATCGCTCGCTGGGAGCAGCAGGGAGGCTGAGGACACGTTCGGGGTTGAAGGACAGACTTCAAAACTCCGCAGCTCTCTCACGTCGAATTTTCCAGAGCTGAATTAGCATAAAACAATTCCGAACTGTAGCATTTTGGAACCATTAGATGTAAAAACCGCTCCGTCAGGCATCGTTTGTGAATAACATAAGTGAGGTGATTTTCAGAGCTCCAGCTGAGCTTCCAGTCTCTTCAGCGACTCGAGCGATTAGCTGATCTCCGTCGTATCGAGGCCCAAAGGAAAACATTCTCGAACTTGGCGATTTAGAAGCTTTTACGCGAGCGGCCGTGACGAAACAGTTTTGCAGAATGAATAAGAAGAAGAAAGAAAAACAGGATCATTGGTTTTTTTTTTTTCTAAACAACTGCAGTGTTGTTTTTCTGATTTCAGCTTTTGTCAGTTCACAATGTTAGAAGGTTGAATTCCCTGTTAAAGGCACAAATAGCTCATCGTATATAACTAGAAGCTGAAAAGACAAGATTTTAAAAGAGATGGTGGGAAAAGCTTTTCTGTGAACAGGGACATTGTGAGCACACGTTACACACCTTTACCTCTCCTCCGTTTTTTTGACGTTCGCTTTAGAGCAATCTCACCCTTTTCTTCCAATAAAAACTCACTCAAACACTCATCCGTCAGACAAACTCTCCTCGAAAGCACCTTTTTTCATCTTTTTCTGAACCGGTGGATGTGGATAGTTTCATGTGCAGCCTCGTCTGCCGGTTTCCTTTTGTTCCATACAGAAAAAGAAGCGATGATGGGTATAGATTTAAAAAAAACAAACAAACAGACATTTTGAATATATGTAGCCTTGTTGGTGGTGATGAGAAAAACCTAAACTCCTAAACATGCAACTTTCTTCATATTTATCCTGTCGTTGATCGTTGTACAGGGAGAACGCGTGGCACGTGGAATATTTCTTGACATGAGGAGGAAAATGCAGTTTTCTTTGATTCCCTTGAATCCTTTGCTCTACTTATGATAACTTTAGTGTTTGTTAAAAGATGCACAGAATATTCACAGATCTGCTGCCGACTCATCTGCTGCTGTGGCAGATGGTGGATATTTGACTCTTCGGGCAATGAAGCCATGGAAAATAACTCGGAAATAAGTTGAAAATTTCAAACAAGCCACGGATACGCACCAATCGGTGCCAGTTAAGGTCTGAGTTACTGTTTTCTACCTGATTCAGTAGTTCTATATAACTTTGTGATGAGAACAAATGTTATTTTCCTCCAGGTTAACCTCCAGTAGTCGTTTCATTTTGCTGCAGGCATCATCGTCATTGAATGCGAGCGCACACACACACACACACACACACACACACAGATGGAAAACAACAAATACCTTGGGTCGAATGTTAAAAAGTAGTTTTTTGTACCATGAACAAAACAATTTTTAAAAAAAACCAATGAGAGGAAAATGTTTGATATCCCATGAAAGAGAGTAAATCATGTGTTCTGGACACGTCCCAGGATTTGTTTGTTGTTGTTGTTGTGTGTGTTTGTGGCCATTTGTCAAACTGTGATCGATGCTGAGCCGATCACTTTGACGTGTGTTTAGATTTATTGTGTGGGAGGAGTAACGCAGGAGTATTGACGGACTAATGACTTTCAGAAAACTCATCACTTTGTCTCGCTTATCATTTGTCAGAGAGAAAAAAAAAAAAAACAAAGAGTCACCAGGCTGAAATGTGGCTGAAAAAATCTTATATTTACACATTTGATTTTAACGAACGGAGCTTCGGCTGCTTAAACTGCAACTAATATGCAGTTTTGCACAAATGTAACACATCTGGCATTTCGCGTGTGGTATATTTCCATCTCAATCGACATCATCTCATCACTGTTGCTGTTGAGGGAAGCGTGTTGACGTTCGGGGACAGAAAGATGTCATTTCTCTGTACTTAGCCAGAGCTAATGTGATATATTGTGTGGATTTTTATTCGTAATTAGAATTAGCTTCAGCCATTTGCACAAATCTGCTCCAAATTTCTAGAAATTAAACTGCATCTCCGCCAACTAGTGTGAAGATTGATTCAGGTATGTGGAGAATAACGTGACGATCACCTGTTGGTCAAAGATCTGATGTGTCGTCTGCTGCTATTTTCTCATTTCTCCGTCGAAGCGTCGGTGGATGTTCACGTCTCAGATTTATTCTCTGAATCTGTTTCTGGATTTGCTCTTTGATGCATTTCGATTTTACTGATTCACGAAATTTTCCCGATTCAACGCAGAAGAATCTTGCGATTATTGAATTCCCAGTGTCTCCACTCTGTGTCTTTCTGTGCAAATTAAAAAATGGGTGGACGGAAACACTTTTCATTTATTTACATGCAAATAGAATTGAAATGAACTGGAACCTGCTCAGAGTTCAGTTTGTGACCTTATTAAACTTTCTGACGTATGAAGTTATTATATAAATTAGCTGAAATGTAATTTACACAATGGTTCATCACTTTTTCGTGTCCCCTGGAAACAGTTTCTGTTTTCTGTGTTGTAGACTTACCTTGTTTTCATTTATTCTGAAACGCTCCTTATGTGTCTCTCTTGCTTTTCTGTCCTCTTCCCCGTCTTTGTCCTGTTTCCTTGTGATTGTTTGCACCTGTTGTTGTGTTTCTCAATGTGTTTAATTACGAACACGACAACTCTGCCTCTCTAACGTCTCTTTGTTTCCTTTTGACTTTGTCGGGTTCAGTTTCTGGTTTCTGGTCCAGTTGGTTCATTTCAGTCCTGTTTGTTCCTCCCTGTTCTGCTGCTTGAGTTTTCTGGTATAATTGAATTGTCTGTTTTCTTTCCGTCCTTCAAAGACTCTAAGCTTGTTTAGTTCTTCGCTGAATTCACCGGCCTTTGCTTCAGTGGCTGCGTTTGGGTTCTCCTTGCTAGAACACGACATTAACCTGCAGCGTGCTCCTGCATTGTGTTGCATTGGGATTAATTGCATCACAAATAACTTGATTTGCATTAATTTTCACTATTGATCTCCTATAGTTTCTCAATGCAATGTCAAATGTAAGCATTAGAGCCACAGGCACAGTCACAAGCTGCTGGATTTCTAAACTCTGATATCACATAGTGAGGTCAAGTTTTCTATCCCGAGTTACTTATAATGAAAGAAAAACCCAGAGTCTTAATGAAAATACTATATGTCTGCGATAAACATTATTTTTCTTCCAGGTTTCATGCTCCACTAGAAATTGTTATTTAATTTTCTATATATTTTTTGCTGTAATTGGCAAACACAGATAGAATCGGTTCGTTCAGGCCAGAACATGCTCCAGAGTCGATGTGATATCAGGCAGGAAAAGTGCAAACTGGGTAAAACTTGTACTGATAATGTCTTTTTGATGCGAGGACCATTTATTGAACAGAATTCAGTTTCGTGTTATCTCAACAGCAGCAACTTTAATCTCATCTGCAGCCGCGTTCTTGGCCGTAGACTCGTCTAGACTGCTGGTGCCTCGCTCAGCAGCAGAGGACGAGCGAAAGTACACGCCAAACTGTTACAGAACGCAGTACATCGCACACACTGTGTATCACGGAGTTTGTGAAACTGTCATTGGCCAGACGTGAAGACGAGATGCGTTCAGCAGACCCTGCCGGATCTGTTTTAGCCATTTCCTCCGCGGGTTCGTTTACCCAGAGCGAGCGAGCTGTTTAGCGGCCCAGTGTGTGTGTGGGAGAGTGAGACGACAGCTGATGATGGGTGGATGGGTCAGCATCTACAGAGCAGTGGCATTTCTCTAATTGGCACTTGTTATAGGCGAGAGTGAGTCAGTGCATTATTGTTTGTGCTTGGCGTAATCCACGCCGGCATCCGCAGCCCTCCACGGATGTGACGGTTTAGAGATTCGCTCTCATTCACGCTGTTGTTTTGACGGTGAACTTCCTCTCTGCTCTACTGGCATCACTCATAGGTTTTTAATACTTTATTTAAATGTAAAAATCTGAACAAGCGGTTGAAAAGCAGTTTCTGTTCCACCTCTTGTTTAAAGAAAAGAAAAAAACACGTGCTTTATGATGGTCATATATTTCTGTGGTGTGTTTTCATTGTAGAAGAAACCTGTTAAATCAATTGCCTCCGTTTATCGACTGTTTCAAAACCCTCTAGCTTTGCCTAATATTGTAATGTTTCTTGATATGATCTTGTATCCCTTCTAACTGTTATGATAGCACTGAATTTACAATTTTTTTATTGAGCATTTTGTATCTGTAATTATAGAAATGTTTGAGAAAACGTTCTGGTTGATGGACATCGACAGTTAGTTCAGACAAGTCTGTTACGAGTTCACTTTAGATTCTAGATTATTATCAGGACTCAAGTGAGGCCAGTGTGTAATAAAGTCAAATGAAATAGCACAGCAGCCATAAATCCTCGTTCTTTGGTTTCAACAGGTCTGATAATCGACAGCAGACCGGAGTTTGTTCTGTTCTCTCCCATGCAGTGTGACGTGTTATCGGTTCTGTGACAGGATTTTCTTTTTTCTTTGATTAAAAGACTTATGCAAAATGAGCTCGGCGTTTGTGAGTTTTGTGGCAAGCACGCAACACAATAACACCACAGCGAGTGGCTTAACAAGCAGGAGGGGACACGAAGGAAATGAGATTCCCGCTGAGTCAAATGGTCAAATTAAATGAGGAGACGACACACACACTCATTCACACTCACTCACTCATTCACACACACACACACACACACACCACAGAGCGGGGAGACTCAACAAACTCTATTACACTAAATGGCATTTTCGGTTCCTTTTGTATTTTAATCAATATAAAAAGGATAAAAAATTTAAATAATTCATCCAAGAGGCTAATTTATCTGTACATTTAAAAACGTGTGATAGTATCTGAGATCTGTATGAAATATATTTATGAACGTAGAGTCTACAGATTGTGAGGCAAGTGCAAGGTTAAGATTTTTCGTATCCAGCTAATTCCTATAACCCGAGTTTGACTTCTCGTTATTTATGTCACTGAACCAGTGTCTACGGGAGTTAGCGACTTGCTACATGCAAAAATACACGATATGAGTCCGTCACACATTTAAAATCATGATATAATATGTTTGCTTTCTACTAGCGAGGATAACCTGAAGTAACCCTAAACCCAAAGTTGATCATATATTATGACTGTATTTAAAAAGCCAATAAGGAAGAGCCTGACATCCTGCATTCTCTTAAGTGACCAGCAGAGGGCGACTCCAGTTTTTAAAGAAGCCTATGAATAAAAGACTTTACTTCTTCATTTACACTTGATTTATAACAGTTTATGTCTCAAAAGTTTCAAGTCTCAATTACAGCATGAAGTTCATTTGGTAAGTTATGGTCCAGTCAGAGTCGAATATGCTTTGGTTACATGGATACCAAGTCCGTCAGGCTCCACCCCTCGCTTTCTCCACATATGGTTACTTCTGAAGAAAAGCGAAATGGAGCTGGACAAGATGAGAAACTCTGGTTCTCAAACCAGCGGGTGACGTCACGGCGAGTTGTTTAGAGCAGAAACTCAAAGCAGAATAGAAACGACCGGTACCGTCACATTGCTAACTTGAAGTGCTCGATGAGAAGACTGAAATATAAAGCCACTGACTGCAGCTGGCTAACTTAGCTTAGCACAGAGTCTGGAAACAAGGCGGAAAAACTTAATCAAACTTAGTTTTTTCCAGAAATATAAAAAAAAGTTTTCTCTCAAGGGTTTGACCGGCATATCTTTGACTATTGCATGTTCAGTAACAGTGGAACTCCCATAACTCAGTGAAAGTTACGGCATCACGGGAGTGATAGCGTGAACACATTTACTATTCTTTTATCCTTCCCTTTGAAAACATGACACCACTTCCCCGCCGTCACACCAGGAGCTTCCTCTTCATGGTCACTCTGTAAATGATTTGATAGCCATCGTCCCAACCGTAGAGCTGTTTCTCCTCTGGGTTGTATTTCAGACTAGCGTGGGCTCCGTACCTCCTGGGGAAGTAGAGCAAGGGAGCCTCCTCGCTGATCACGATGTCGTTGACATCAAAAACACACTGGATCCTTGAGCGACTGACCAGGCGGGTGTTGTAAACAACATAGACAGTCCCACAAACCACAAAAGCTGCCTCTGCGTTCTCCCTTGGGCACCGGGTGTCCCAGATTTGTTCTATATCGAGCGTGGCAGGGTCCATCTTTGCAAGGTTGATGTTCGGCTCGCTGTCGCTCGTGGCGAACAGGAGCCAGAGGCCCTCGTCATCTGCTGCGAGGTCCGCAACGGTCTCAGGGTTGAGGCTGTAAACACTAGCCCGGCTGTCCACGGGGAACATGGCGATATCCGTCACCACGCCGCTCATCAGGTCATATTTGACAACCTGCAGGTCTGTGTCAGCCTCCTGTTGTACGTAGTACAAATATCCGTCATAAACAGCACTGCCAGCGCCGCTCCAAGCAAAGGGCAGCCGGATCTGTGTGCCGCCGGCGACTCCTGGAGAACGGGAGAAGTCCTGAACAGAGTTGAACTGGTAGATGACGTCTCCGGATGTGCCGTTAAAGACGTACACCCTGGAGGACCTGGGGTCTCTGCTCCACATCCCCTTGGGACCGCCCGCTCTCTTCAGGATCTTCACTGATCTGATGCCAGAGATGATTTCTACACAGTCTGAAAGAAAACACACACAAAGTAGAAGGATAATGCCTCATGTGTGCAGACCGGTAACCATCACAGAACCTTGCTGTATTGTTCCCATGTCCATTAAGCTCCTACAGTTTCTCATGGGACGTAATAGAGCTGCTAAGTGAAGGTAACCGCTGGTTTCTAAAGTGCTTTCCCAGATTCCGTTTCAATTTCTAAACTTTTTATAATAAAATTCTCGTTGTGGTGGGAGTCAGGACACTCACACGTTCCTGACACAGCAGATTCAACTCTATCTAGATTATATCTTCCACATTATTTTAAGAAATAATGTAAGATTTGAAACATTTCAAGGGTAATAAATCATCCTTAAGAGGATTAAAAGTGAAAACTATGTTTGGGAATTGAAAAAACAATTATTTAAATCCTCTGTCATCATTAGCCCCATTACCATGTTGCAGTAAAATGAAATGTGTGTCTGCAGTCTGACATTTAGAAAAGTTTGAAGCAGCCTGCAGCAGTCAGTATATGGACTTTCCAAATTCAGGCAAATTCAAAGCAGTCAAGGGGAAACCGGACACAGACTCATAATGAGAGGAAGTTTGAGTGCAGCGAACACGACGGCACGAAGATGCTTTTTGTAAGAGAAGTAAGAATAATACTGCGCTTTCACAAAAATACAGGAAAATTACCAATGTGTCCCGAGGGGAAATTAGCAATTTGCTCACAAATCTGAAGTGGCGACCCCGCGATGCATTGCAGTTGGTTTTGGGTCGTTTCATGGGCGTTCACAATGCGTCACTGTGCGCGGACCTCACCCGTGCGAACATGAGCTCGGAGATTAACGCCGCTGACCTCGGGGCAGTTTCCTCTCCCTCCTCTCTGCAGAGTCACTGCTCCAGATCTCACACAGGGACACTGAGAGAGGAACCTTTACCCTGCATTGCCTTGAGGTTTCATGATATTACTGCGTAATTCTCGAATGTGTGTTATTGAACGTGTTTTTACGTCAACAGGATTAACAAAGACATCGGAACGTTTCTTTCTTGCTTCGTAAGAAGAGTTGTATAAATGTTACCAAATTAATTTGATGATCTGAGATCAGGCTTTTAGCTTCTGGAACCAATTAAGTGCAACACTATAGATCTGATGCTTAATGTGTCTCATGGAGTTAAAATCTGATTCCACAACTTTCCGCATCACGCTCTGAGTGGGTTATAAACCCATGTGTTACCTGAGTAAATGACTCAGTGCTCCTCTTGTACTCCGGCACTGTTTTTGTAGCAGCTCACATTTGGATGAGGGGATTATAAAGACGACCGCTGTGCTCAAACAGCAGAAACCGTTTCAGGGGAGTTTAGCTCTGCTGAAATAAATGAGTCGCATCAACGAGCCACATTTCTCCTGGAAAACATGACTGTCCACCGACTCCGTTAAATGACTTGTAACAACGCCGTGTTTGTTTCCCATTTTCCAGGAGCACGGTTTTTCCAAGACAGCAGCTCAGCAGAAGGGTTGGTGTTGTGCACGCTGAGACGTGTAATACAAACTGAAACTCCGAAGCATATATGCTTCCCAACCTTCACGTTAGGGAGGAAAATAAAGGATGAAATGCAGCAGAGCACATTTGTTTGTGTTTTTCTCTGCAGCTCACCAGAGACTCTGGAGTGCAGCTCCTCCCAGTCGTCCTCCTCCTCTCCTCTGCTCTCCTCCAGCCCCCAGACCCCCTGCTCCACCACCTTGTCTGCCTTATTGGCACAGGCCCGAGGCGAAGTCTGTATTTCCACGTAGTCCATCTCCCGCTCCACCCGGTCCACTCGGACCGCGGCTCCTTCCAGGTCTTTGAACATCGAGCCGTACTCGTTCCTCAGCCCGTCCGCGGTCTCGGCAGTTAACTTTTTGAAATCCTGCAGCTCTGTGTGGTACCGATGGGACTGGTCGTGCCAGAACTGCATGCGGTCCTGGGAAGAGTTAAAACAAGTGTTGTAACATACTGCAGGATGAGATTTGTCTGTTTTTTACAGAAGTCACCGAACAAGGAACAGCAGCATATTTACCTTGTTCAGCCTCTCAGCCCCTTGCTGGGGCAGCAGTCGGTTGGCCCACACTTTAATATCTCATTACTATTTAACACATTGCCATGCAATCGTGTGCAGACATTCATGGTTCCCTGAGGAGCAACTCTAATCAGTTTTCAAGGTAAAATGAGTGTAAACGACTGAGCTCGGTCACGTTCCACAATCATAGAAATGCAAAATTTTAACTAGCTTTGACTAGCACTACAATAACATTCCCCTCAGCTAAAACAAGAATATGAATAAATCAGGCTGAAATAAGACGGTAAACATGATAGTTATCCTGCGTCATTTTATTTAAACCATAATGTTTAGCAGCCAAGTGGGAAAAACGTTATAATGAACCCACAACTTCTTAATGCTTTAACAAATTGTTAGCAAATGGCTCCAAATGCATCATAGCCAACTTATACTACATCTTACCACCAGGTTCCGTGGTAATCATTCAAGTAATCTTGAATAAAATCAAACAGACAAGGGTGAAAACATAACTCCTGCAGATGTTGCACCAACGCAGCATTTAATGCACCAAAACATCAACCTGCTAGCATTGTCATTAAGAGGACGTCTTCATGCTGACGTTAGCATTTTATCTCAAAGCACGTTTGGGCCTTGGTGCTGGTGCGGTTGCCCACCACGACAAGTTCCAGATGGTAAAAAGAGTCTGTCTGAATCAAAGCATCATCACCGAGCAGTCGACAGCGCTGTGTTTCTCGTTGTCGTGACTGACAGGTGAATAATTCACAGCAAGATGTAATAACTGGCGGCTGCTCCACTGTCTCCGCCGCCTCGCTTTCATTTTCTCCCTGCGCTCGCTGAGGGCCTGTGGTCAGATGGAAGTGGAAGTTCAATGAAAACTCGCTGATGAATTGCCCGTGCTCGTATCTGTGCGGAAAGTTGAGGCGACATATTGAAATTGAGACCGTAGGGAAGCCGCTGGGTGTGTGGGGGTGATGGGGGGGAGGGGAGTGAGCGGGACTTAGCTGTAAATAGACGCTTCATTTCATGCGGATTACAGCTTGATGATTCTCATTTTTACATCACGGACGCACACTTGATGAAAAAGAAAATTCCGAGGAAAAATATATTAAAGAAATTATTTGAATTAGAGTTCACTTAAATGACTCCCAGAGGCAACCGAACGTGTAATCCTCCTCTTCATGACACTCTCACCTCGACTCAACAACAACACCAAACTCTGAGCAACGCCGCTCCTTCCCTCAGGCTCTTTGTTGTAAAACAGATTCGTTCTCCGTTTGCGGAAGACACCTTTCTTTTCCTCCGTGGGGATGTTTGATGCCACGGCAGCAGAGTTTGCACTTGTTCTCATTACTGACGTGTCATTGTCTTACACGCTGTAGGAATTATAATGTTGTTGAACAGAGGCTGTGTGTTGCATGAGAAGGAGAGCCCTGCCTGCACCAGCTGATATCCCGCCAGAGGCCCCTGCCAAGTTGATGAGCTGGGCAGGCATTGCATTAATTGTCCCGCAATAGTTAAGACATTAAATTCAAATCAAAGGAGGAGGCGGCGGCCATCAGGAACTGGAAAATATGAACTCTTATTTGTAATTAGCTACTTACGAGGGAAGCGTGTTTCACTTTGTGCATTAAAACAGCATTTTACTGATCAGTCATTTAAAGGAGGGTTGTGTCTTACCTCAATCGCCAACAACCTGTTCTCCAGATAATCCATCAGCCCCTGGTAGTAATACTGAGCTGCTGTCAACGTCCAGGCCGTGGAAACAAGCAGCACCAACACCGGCTTCATTTTGAGCCGATAAACACGACAGCTCAGTTTCTCTGTGGGTCCAGATTCTGGAGGTTTTTCCCTCTGCAGGAGTTTCACAATGACCTAACGACACCAGTGGAAAGTGCAACGACACGTGCAAAGAGGTGCGACGGATCGAGAGAGTGAGAGGCCGCTCTGAGTTTCCAATTCTTTGACCGCTCTCACTTTGCTGGAATGTTTTCACAAACTCTCAGGGAGGAGCCTCATGCCTCTTACCCCTTGCTGTCCCCGAAAAAAAAAAATGAATGAATGTGCTCCAGGAAGTCTGTTGCATGTCTGTTTGTCTCAGCAGGGATTCAAACACAAGCTAAACTAAAAAACTTATGTTTGATGAAGTTCATTTGTTTGCTCAGCTCTACAGCAATTAAAATAAGAGCACAGTGTTTTATATATCAATCCATACACTTACAATATAGAATACTGCTATCACATGCAGCTTCCTGATAGAATGCAATCAGCCGCATTACTGCATGCAGCTGCAATCAATTTATTTATGAGCTTATATAACAGTGCACGTTAATAAACACTGGTGAGTTAAATAACGAGGCTGTGTGTGTATAATGACAAAGTCACAGAATATGAGGATTAGTTATTTAAAATTTTTAATTTGAGGATTTTTAAAATTGCATATGGAATAAATATAAAATCATTTCAGGGATCTACAGACGTTTCAAACAACACAGGTGGGAAAACAATCTTGAAGTGAACAGAACTAAACAGTAAAGGGGCCAAATAAACATTAGGAGAGTAGAAGTAATCTGAGGAAAACAGAAAACTGCTAAACTCCTCGTTAGAAGTGAAGACGACAACATTTGCAGTGGTGCATTTACTCCATTAAACAAGAGTCAGACATTTATGGCTTCAATGGTCCCGTCAGTCGATCTGACTTATTGGTTCGAGCATGTAACACACACACACACACACACACTCACACTGACTGATTGTGAGGCTGTGATGTGTGCGAGCGGCTGTAGATTGTTCTCCCTTCAGGGAAACATGAGGGTTTGATTACACACACAATCACACTGACTGACAACGCGTGACCCTTCAGCACAGACGAGGTCAAGTTTAAAAAAAAAAGAAGAAGGAACATTAAGTGTATAAAATATTTAAGCCCTGGTTCTTGCATCTCTGTGGTCGTTTTTTATGTTATGGTGGTAATTTTGCCTTTTTGTGTTTGTTTTGTCTCTTTCTGTCTCTTTTGAGTCATTGTGTGTCTGCTGGTGCTCATTTTGTGTCTTTGTTTTGCATTTGCTTTTACTCAGATGCTGTCATTTTGCGCTCATAGATGTTTTGCATCTCTGTGGTAATCATGTCTCTTTGTGGTAAGTTTGCCTCTAATTGCTTGTTTTGTCTCTTTGCAGTTGTCGTGCATTTCATTTTATTCACTTTTCATCTCTTCGCTCGTGTTTCTTGTTGTTTCTGACCTGTTCCCAGTCGCATTTCATTTATTTTTAGTATTGCTGTCTCTCAGGGAACACCCTCTGTCCCTGCACCTGTTTCACCTCAGGCACAACAGCTCAAACTGTGAACTGTGACGGCCGTGTGCACGTGAGGAAACAAACCGTGAAGTTGGAGGAGCTCGCTCGAGGCTTTCAGCCTGTTGCTGTATCATCACAGTCTGATTAAGGGTCAAAGCCAAATCCTCCTAATGACAGTCGTGTAATCATGGAGCCTTTTTTTTGATCGTCTCTTCCCCTCCATCATCCCAGCAAGTCCTGAACTGAACCTCAACCATCGTCTATTTTTATTACCGCAGACAGCAGACCAGGCTGCCAGTGTCGTCATGGTAACAAAGTGCCGTATGGCTGCTTTTGGAATTGAAATGGGCAACCTGGAGTTTGATCTAATCTGGAACACATTGCCTGTCTGGAACCAGGAGGCGAGGGCACTGACAGGCCAATGGCTGTAAAACCGTGTGTGTATTTTTATGCCCGAGAGGCTTCGTTCAATCACAGTTTCTGAAGATGTGAGTAATTACAGTTTTATTACCTTTTTTTTTTTTTTTGCAGAAATCGATTTGAAGCATACGTCCCACACTGCCTGCCACTCAGTGTGGATTTTTAATCTACCATTAATTACAGGCTTAATTTGCACCATTGAGTGGTGTGATGTTATCAAAGGGCAACGCATCACTCAGGATCCATTATGTTCCACTAAGCAGCATTTTGCAGCCTCGTAACCTTTTAGCTCAGGGCTGAAGCCGATGCTGGGATATTTGTTCAGGGACAGGTATCACCGATTCAATTTATTCTGGGAAACAAGACAGAAATGTCCTATGGCAAGTTTTTTCTAAACCCACTTTATTCTGTAGAGGTGACCACAAGATGGCAGTATCTGTCTGCATGTGAAGTCAGTAGTTAACAGTGAACAGATCCTTTACTAAGTACCAATACAACAGTACTGCAATACAAGGTAAAGTACTGCATTTAAAATGGTGCAATCCGATCAAAAAGTACTTAAAATATCAAATGTCAAATTGACTGATTTTTTATTAAGCAGATGTTTATTTCTGTTTACGGAGTCGAACTGGAATTCTCAAGACAACGATTTCAAATGTTATTCATTTTAAGAGACACTAAACTAAACATGTATGAATTTATTATTATTATATTTTACTCCTTATGCCCCTATTGAACCAGGTGTGTATGAAAGTATTACAGTGAACAAACTTCTCCTTGCCACAGACTGGGCTTGAATGAGACGTTACTCATGTTGGTTGGATTAAGTCGGAGTAAATTTGTGCACAATCACAAATCATCACAGCTCTAGAAGATCTAGAAGCATCAGGTTGTTCAAATCATGGCTCAGGATGGAGATGCAACAGTTCAATTAAATAATAATGACGGTTATAATAATATAATATCAAACTCTACAATTAATCTTTGTGTGTTTGGACTGTGAGAGGAAACCGGAGAACCTGGATAAACTCCACTGGCAAAATTGAAAACTTCGATTAGAAAAAAATTAATAAATTTGTGTGTTTAAGTTGGGTAATTCTCGATTTTCTTTCTTTTTTCAGTGAAACAAGAATTTTTGGTTGTTAACAACTATATTATTATAAATCGATTATCCAAGGTTCATACCAAAGACGGTTGAAGCTTTGATTGTGATTATGAACGTGTGTGTGTGAGTGTGTGAGTGTGTGTGTGTGCACGACAGAGTGCAGAGGATCTCATGTAATCTCATGTGTTTGCCTTCACACCAGGCGTCAGGAGTCGCCCATAAAAACCTCTTTCCTCCGCAACTAAACAAAAAGCCAAACACCCGTGGAGGCAACATTCTTTATTACCCTTTCGTATTGATTGAGAGGGTCAGAGAACGCAGCAGCGCGGTGCCAGGTCGTATAAAAGTGCAGACCCAATGGGTGAAGCAACGTAAATCCTTTAGTCCCTTGTAAATAGCTTTAATACACCCGAGGCGCCAAATCACTTGACCTGCGTTAGCCTTGCCGTTTGGGGGCTTTCTGGCTGACTGAGCAGTGTGGAGCCGGCCCTTCTCCTCCCATTCTCTGGCTGTCAGTCCAGGTAAAAGTCAAGGCCTTATTAGTGACACACAAGCTCTGCCTGGCTCCAAACCTTCACGGCATCTCCTGTATTTCATCAGCCACTCAGAACTTTTTTTTAAATTATATTTGTCTAACAAAAGACCTCATTCTGCTGTTGGTTCCTTTTTTTACTGCAAGAATGTCCAGTAAAAATACTTAATTTTTTGTATTTTTTGAAATGCTTCATTATTCGACGTGTATCTAACAGGCTTGTTGCAAACTCTGACTCAAACCTCAATCTGCATCATAACCGTCGAATGATTCACCTGGCGTCTGTTGATAAACCAGAGTTGAGAACTTCCCTCACACAGCTCAACATCAAGCAGGAAGAAGATAAAGCAAACAAAACAAGTCATGACCGATTTGTCCGATAACAACGAGTCCAGGTCTGTCCTCCACCCTGACGCCTCTTTCAGCTTTCGCCATCGAGTGAAATATGCTCAGATATTCACGCCCTAATCACGGGATTAACGCCACGGGATGATTTGTGTTTAATTGCGTTAATCACACAAATCGTGTGTAAAGCTTGTAACTTGCAAATAAACATGGAGTACTGCCCGTTCTCCCGAAGAAAGGTGGACGTCTGGCTGAAGAACGTACAACTGCTGCAGTGAACATGTTGTGTCTGGATGACTGTCGATTCAGACAACCAGTGACCGGTTGGATCAACCTCTAGCTCGGGTCGGTGCCAGGACCAAGTATGGTGAGTTTCATTCTCGGCGCTAATTAGCTGACATCGAGTCGTGTGAATTTGACCCCAGAGTTCTAATATTTCAAGCGTCAGGTGAGATTGACGGGTTTGTCTTTAGTGCTGCACCAAACACAACCTGAGTTGTCTCTTGAAGCTTAAGTCCAACACGGTGGACAAGATGGAGGAGCGGGGATGTTGTTGTCCTGTATTCAGGCCACTACAGCTTCTCTCTTCCTTGCTCACTGATCCAATCTCCACTTCAGACTATTTTTGGGTGCATGAACTGAGCAATAACTTCTTGTTCTGTGCTTCACGGACGCTGAGGAGGAGGGTTTTGATGCCACTTTGCTTATAAAGCTGCACCATCACGGGAGGGACACGGACTGGAAGTACAGAAGCTGAGGTTTCTGTAACAGACACCAGCTCTTTGATCACAAAGGATTCATTTTCCATTTATGTCTATTTAAGGTCAAAGCAGTGCTGGATCTCCGTGTTTGTGTTGTTGGCCACATAATCTCGGAATGATAACAGCTTAGTGTGACTCTGAACCATCTTTGGGAACATCCACAGAACATCAGTGAGTCATGTAACTACCAGGAATTGCGAAATGGTTTCGAGGTGTGAGGTGTATCCATGCCCGTCTTAAATGGGGCATGCATTATTTATACACACATCTCGTACCCACAGTGCATTTAGGTTTCTTTTTGTTGCATTGAGGCATTTATTTTTTTCAACATGATCTGAAGTAGTTTGAGCTCTGTACCTGAATTTGAAAGCCAACGTGCACTTGCTTGGGTTGCAGAGCAGGAGGCTGCCTGAGGGGCTGCAGACAGCTGCTCGGAGGGAAAAACTCCTGACAAAGCTGCATTTATCCA